CTGCAAGAAATGTTTATTTATTCTTAGGTATGGATTTTGAACGCAATCCGTCGTAACTTTCTTTCAGAAAGGCATATGGTGCAGCACTCATCTTTATTCAAAGCTACGAAAGTGAAACGCGCCATTTCATAAATACCAATCACTGCTCCTGTAATAAATGCACAGGACTATGTCTAAAAATATGGGTTTACTCGGCAGAATCTCTCAATGCATAAAATGCTTTATAGCATCATTTCACGGCATAAATTAAAGATTTTCTGCTTCCTGTTGCCGGTGCATTTAAGTAAATTGTGATGGTATTTTAGCATCAACAGCGACGAATATCGTGTCACTTCATTTCTCTGAAAAGGCACTCGTTTGCCCACCTCTGAAGGAACAGGAGACCTAGCAAAACTTTCAACGCGCTATGTTTCAAGCGTGATTTTGATGTGTGCCTGATTTCGCAATCCCGGCTTTATCCAGGAGCCGAAATGAACACATGAATATATCATAAATCACGGCTGAAGCAGAAGGCGATATCTTCTACTCTCAGTATGCTTGCACAAAGAGATTGTCGTTTCAACCGCTATTTGAAATAAGTAAACAATGATTTACTTGTAACAGCGATGTGTCGGTTCGCCTTTCCTTCTTCGATGGTGACAATCACTTCCTCAGGACTGGAGACGAACCTCTCCGTACAACCCTATTGAATTTGAGACAAAACATTGATTAGTCAACTTTAACGAAATTTACGCCAGTGCAAATACCTTCACGTACGGCACCCGATTTTTGTCTTCATGAACGGACAAATTGGTTTTCGTAACTGCAAGAAGATAGCGATTAAAATTAATAAAAATAATTCTTCTAAATTTTAAATTTATGCCAGATTTTCCAGTAGCATAATTAAGTAAATCCTAATTCTGAGAAAAAACTAATTTCTAAGTCTATCTGATTCTACAGAAAGAAACGAAAGTTTGTCAATGTTGAAAAGTCGATCTTCACGTTTATGAAGAGGCCATTTTTGCGCTTTTCTTCTTATGAAGCCGAAAGAGCGGTGCAGATCTCGCTTTCTAAGCCATCAGCCAGGAGCGCCTTATTTTTAAGACAGAATCTAAAGCCACTTGACAAGCGTAGCGTGTAGTCACCTGTTTCTTTCCCGCAGATGGGTACTCATTTATGAACCTCAGAAGAATAAAGGACAAGTAACACTGACCAGACTTGAATTCAGAACCTATCTGCTCTATTCGAGTTCGATTTTCTACCAACTACGCACTTTGGTCTGAAGCAATATGTGTTAAGCAATATGCCTTCCTTGCTCAAGTAAATTCGTAAATAAGATGAAGATTGTCCTTGAACGGAACTGAACCCAGCCATAGAGTTAGAAGCAGAATCCTTAAAAACTGTGCCTACATGCCACACGTGCGATTCTGTTTAGAGGAAATATGATTAAATACAATGGTAGTCTACACTTCCAGGTCGACTGAACAATGCAGCTCTAATAATGGCATTAAAGCGGAAGTTACGTAATGCAAACAGTTTGAAATAACCAAGTAATAATTGCAGGCTATTCAACATATGATGAGAGGTCGCTTCATCAATGCGCCCTGAATGAACAAACACGGAATAAGAATTCAATATGATTGCATTGGGAAAAGTAAATTTTTACTAACAAATCCGCCATCTCAACTCTGTCATAATCGAGCTGCGTGAACATCAAGAGATGATCTACGGTTTTGCAAAGCTGCTAAAGACGATTATTACGAATTAACTACAATAATAACAAATAAATTGACATCCTGACAACAGTCGCCCAGCTCATTTAACATAACAGAAATACATTTCAAATTGGAGCGACAGCTGGGTGCATCTGCCTGAACAGTATCAGAGTAAAAGCAGCATTGAAGAAGGACTGGAAGACGCTGTATATGCAAGTCAATATCATCAAGGGTGGGGGTAAACAAAAGCCCCAACTTGTTTGATTTGCAGCAAGTCCAACGAGCCTCATCCAAATTCAGACAACAATTGGAGGAGATGGCCTGACCACTTCGAAGAGCTCCTATAAAGGTTCGCTCTGGTAGATGATCTGGAAACAGAATTCAATGACTGAGAAAAGTGAAAATTGACTGCTTTTCTATCGTAACAAAATTCTGATGCAATATGTCTCTGCCGAAGTTCGAAATCCTGCAGGTACGACAGGATTAGTGCGGAAATGAGTTGCCAAGGCGAAACCCTACTGAACCTGGATCCATTTCGTTTTTGACAGCATCCGGTGGAAGTCGGAAATCCCTGAGAACTTAAAGTATGGAGTAATCATTCCGATATTCAAGCATGAAAATCTTTCTGACTGCGCCAACTACCGCAAAATCGCGCTTCTCTCTGTGTTGGAAAAGGCGCGAATCCTCCTCTGAAGACTGAAGAATGTAGTTGAAGATTCGCTCCAATCAAATCAAACAGGGTTTCGAATTGGACTCTGGTGTACGGATAACAATGTCGTACTAAAGAAGAAAATCGAATAAGGAAGGAGCTTCCAACTACTCTGGCAATGTAGCACTCCTCAATTTCTGAGCAGCATTCGACTTGGTACACCTCAGTCCTTGTGATACATACTGCGAAGCAACAGAATAACGCAGAAGAGTCGTTGTCAGACTAGTGCAATATCAAGAGTGGAGTGCGCCGCCAAGGAAAGGTGCTTTCATCTCTACTGTTTAATACGGTGGTGGATTATGTAAGGCGAACCACAACAGTGATGGTTCAAACGACGACACAGCCGAAGGTACAAAGCAGCATTCATAACAGAATTCGAGTATGCTGACAACGTTGTACTGCTGAGCCACTCCGCTAACGGTTTACTGGCAAGAACTCGGCAAGTGCGCAAGGTGGCCTCGACATAAGCCCTATAAGTTAACTAAGATCGTGTGAGCACCCGACTCGACCAACGACGCAAAGACTCAACAGAGTAGAATGACCATCGTTAATGAGGTTGAAAACTTCAAATACCTCGGCTCTGAACTTGCAAGAAATAGAGGCTGCGATATGGAACTAAAGAGACGCTTAGGGCTGGGATATGTGAACTTCGGGTGACGTTTTAAATGGCGGCAAGACCGATCCATCCAGAGAGCAACAAATATCACCCAACTGAAAGCCATCATCTTCTCAATTCTGATGCACAGCCTTAAAACATCAACCATTTTAAAGCGCCATCAGAAAATGCTCCACGCTTTTCAGCAGTGCTGCCTGCGGAAAATCTTGAAAGGGTGATAGTTCCATCGAATAAAGAATAGAAAGATCTTGAAGACAACCGGCCTGAGAAT